TAACACCCTCAACTATTTGAGTTCCCAAACGAGGCCCTCTCTCCCTCTCTCGCGCTCTCACCATCACACGTGCTATTCCACTCTGCCTGAAGCAACACGCCACCCTTACTCTGACTAAATTCTAACTCACCTTCAGCTCTCAGCTGAGACAGGATTTCCCTCAACATCAGTTAGCGAAAATCACGCTCCTGAGTTCTCAGGTGAGAGAGTTTTTGGTGGTGGGGAAGCATTTCTCCTTTTAATCTTATGTCTTTCTATACTGCTTGAATTCTCTAACTACGTACATATATTCTTTTAATTTAACAGGGATTATTTGCATATGAGATAATGGACTTATTCTTATTTTCTTTATAATATTCCTCTGCATCGAAAAAATATCCTAATAAATGCTATTTTTAAATGTCAGTACCACAATGACAGTTATTACAGCTTTATTTTATGGGTTAATGTCTTATAAAAGCCACCTCACGGAGCTCTTCCATTCATTCTAATATTTTTCCTAGCAAATTGCCTTCAGCTTCCCAAGTAGGCTATTCTATCACCTGGAAGAAAAATGGTAATTTTATCCTATTTTTCTGTTGCTTATAATTCTTAATTCTGTTTTATTTCTTCTTGCACCAGAACTTGTAGAACAGTGGTAAATAATAGAGGCGACGGTGGGCATTCTTGTCTCGTTCTTGATTGTAATTGGAATATTTCTAGGGTTTGACATGTAAGAAGGATTGTTGGTTTAAAGAAGGTGCCCTTCCTCGTAGGAAGGAAGAATTCTTCCATTGTCTGAGCCAGAGAGGAAACATTAGCACAATTTCTCTATCCAGGATGAGGCTGTTGTCATCATCAAGCCAGCCTCTGCAATTAGACTTCAGCACTTCGGGAAGTCTCTCCTTACTCTGTCTTCCACCCAAACCTCTCCCTGGGGTCCTGGGGTCTATGAGTTCTCACAGCCCAGCTCCCACACCTGCCATATCCTGGGTTCCCTTTGCCTCTCCCATGTAACCACTGATCTGTCTCCCAGACCAACCACCACTGATCCTCTTCATGGTTTACCACGTTCCTGTTTTCTGCTTCTCTCTGCCCCAGTGCCTTAGCTTCAACTGAGCCAGGACAGTGCTTGTCTCTGAATCCTGGCTTCATCCTTGCAGGGCACAGTCGTGCGCCACATAAAAACATTTCCATCAACAACGGACCACACATATGTCGGCGATACCGTAAGATTAGATCCATAGAACCTAGGTGTGTAGCAGGCTATACCATCTAGGTTTGTGTAAGTACACTCTGTGATGTTTGCACAATGACAAAATCACCCAAAGATGCATTTCTCAGATCATATCCTCATCATTAAGTGATGCATGACTGTATATATTTTCAACATCTCTCTTGGTTCCATCCTCTGCAGTTCATGGGCAAGTCCAACCCCATCCTATTTTTCTTGGATTTACTGATATGGGGAAATACTCATGAAAAATGTAGGAGAAGAAGAACAGCATGATCCCAATTTTCTAAAACCATTTGTGTGTGAAAGCATGGGGGAAAAAAAAGCCTGGAAGGAAATATACAGAAATGCTAAGTAGGAGTTATTTCTGGGAGCTAGCAATATGCTACCTACACGCAAGGCCAAGTTTACTTTTTGATGAGTGTATGACTTGGGGTGCCAGCAGCTTCATTTTCAGAGTGGAGTCTTCCTTGGGGAAATTCTCCACTCCTTTTCTTTTTATATTGTTTCTTTAAATCTCGCCATGGCGCCAATGTGTCTCTTCCGGTCCTAAAATACCTACTAAAACCAACGGTAGTAATAGCTGTAATTTATTGAGTTCTCACTATGTGCCAGGAACGGTACTAAATGCTCTATGTCGTCGGATTAACAGAGTTATGAGTAAATCGCTGAGAACAGTGACTGGCACCGTGACTACTCTTACAGCTTGCATTAGTTCTCATGACAGTTCCATGAAGCGATCATTATTATCTTCGTTCTGCAGAAGAAACGGAGGTCTGGAGAGGTAATTCGCCACAGGAACCTCAAGTGACTTAGGGCCTGGTGGGGACTTTGGCCAACTGGAAAGCTCGTCTCAAGGGGGATGCTGCTATCCAGCGGCACAGGATTGTTTCCACGTGGAAATATGGGACAGAGTTCCCCATTTTTTAAGAGAAGCTGCAAGTCAGGCTTTCAGCTGCTATATCATGAATTGCAAATTGCAGCAACATATTTAATTTTTTTTAAATATGCACTAAAATACTGCAGGAAAAAATAAAACAAAATAAACAAACAAGAACACCGAACAAAACATTCAGACACCCAGATTTGCCCTAAACACCCAACATTATCTACTTTTTTCTAAAATTCAGACACCAGCCTGAATTACATCCTCCAGTCCTAGGAAGATCCAAACTCCTCCTTGCTTTCCATTTTTGCCCTCACCAAGTTTGTGCTACCTCACAGAGATCTTTAGACCAGACATCAGTAAAATTTTCCTTAGCCAGATAGTAAATGTTTTCAGCTTTGCTGTCTCTGCCGCAACTACTCGGGCCTGCTATGATAGCGTGAAAGCCGTAGACAAATGGGCATGGCTGTGTTTCAATATGATTTTATTTACATATGCTGAAATTTGATTTTCATGTTTTTTTTTACATGTCATAAAACAATACTCTTCTTTTGATTTTTTTCCAACCCTCTAAATATGCGAAAGCCATTCTTAGCTGGTGGGCTGGGCAAAAACAGGTGGCGGGCTACCTTAGACCATTAAATACTGATGACTGTTTCTGCAGGAGATACTGGTGTTTGCTGGCTCTAGATACCAGTTTCAAGCTGCCTTAAGCCACCTTGGGTAGGGCCCATTTCACAAGCAGAGGCAGGCATGCGTGTTGGTCCTTGTTCCCACACGGTTCGGGCTGGTCAGGTTTAGTCGTGTTCGAATCTCATCTTCAGTTGGACCTTTCCTTCCTAGGAAATCTTTCGTGGAGTATGTAAAACAGCTAACAGTCCCACGCCCACCGCCCTTGCCCTGCTCAGCGGCCCCTGATGCCTATCGTGGGACAAGCATGGTTGATGGAAAAACCACTAGTCCAGTTCATTGCCGCAAAAGATAGCAGCGGATGGACCACAAAACTGTCATAAAGCCACTTGGCAAAGGATTTTGCTTCCAACCCTAGAACCTGTTGAAGAGAGCGCGGTTCACAGTTGCGGTAGGAACTGTAGCGTTGGAGTCAGGCTGACTTCCATCTGGGTGCGCCACTGATGGCTGCGTCCTTGGGGAAATCACCTGCTTCACTATGCCTCGGTTTCCTCATCTGTAAAATAGGGACCATGATACCAGGTACAAGGGTAAACCATGTGAAGTGCTCAGAACAGCACTCGGTATCCGGTAAGCGCTCAACGTGTGTGACTTCTTATGATTTACTAGCCAGCCAGCTGGAAGGGGATGGACCTTAAAAACAAACAGGAATGTGTGAATCAAACTCTAAAATCTAAACAAGAAAAAGGAGGGCGTTCTTTCAATATCAAGGAAGATATTGATAAGTTTGTCTTTCTGCCAACAATTTCCTTGAGTCTGCAGGTCCTCTCTCCAGGACTCCTCTTGGTTCGGAGTCCATTCTTTGCCTGGTGAGCAGAGAATCAGAACCAAGAGGATGCTCTCATACTGCATTGCATTTATTGTGAAATGCCTCTGGCTTAGATCCTACTTATAGTAGGGCTTAAATATATGGCACTCTTATTATTATAAGATTATACTAGATATAATAATAATGGCTACTGTTCATAGTATAATGGTGAAAACCATAGGCTTGGAAGCCCGTATTCAAATACCGATTCCTCCAGTGTCCGGCTGTGACACTTTGATCTCCTCTGTGATCCTGGGTTGCCTCATCATCAAATGTCAGTATTAATAGCCCATCCTTCCTAGGACAGTGGACAAGAATAAGCAAGGGGAGCAACATAAGTTTTCAGCTCTGTGCCTGGCCCATCGAAAGCACTTAAAAAATGTTGGCCATTACTCATTATTCATTAAAGCTTAGCAAAAAATTATCTCATCTTCATTTATTGCCTTATTTAATTCTTACAGTAACTTCTCTGAAATATCAGGCCAGCTCTGTGTGACTCTAAACCCTGTCCGCTGTCCATGACACCACGCTGCCCCTCACCTCCACGCCATCTCCACGGGCAGGGACAAGAACAATAATGCATAATTTCATACTGTGTTGTGGTGAGAAGTTCTGAAATTGTTTGTCATTTATCAGAACTGGCAGAGCCATTAGCTGCCCCAGAGATTGGTTAATTGGCTAGTTAGCAAACACCCACAATGATTGTCGAACACCCACAATGAGTTAAGTCAGGTTGATGGCAAAGAAAGAAAAGGAAGCAAAATGCTGACAGTCAGGTTCCCCAAGACGCACTAGCACAATTCTGTGCCTCCTGAAGGAGTGGCCACACAGCAGAGCACAGAGGCTGTGGTCCTCGGCCGGGGGCGCGGGAAGGGGGTGGTGCTGAGGCAGACATGGGCATTACTGGGGAGACTGGCCTCCTCCCGAATCCATGCCTGGAATCTACGCCCCGGATTCAGCAGGTCCTGACTGGAATCGTGGCTCTGTTGCTTCCCTGTGTGAGCTGAAGCCAAATTCTTATGCCATTTCCCCATCTGTAAAATGGGAAGATAAATTAATATACATAAATTCTGCTTCCTTTTCCCCTTTCTCCTCATTAATTGGGGAAAAAAGAAAACAGACAAGACAGTCCTCATAATGGATGCTTATGCTTCATAGCTCTTTGCCCTGCTAAGTAGATCCCAACAGCATGCAAGTCTAAAAAGCAGAGAATTCCAGTCTTTTCCTTTCCCCACCCTCCCGACGTCTGCTGGTCTCCTTTTTGTGCCCAAAGAATGATGCTGATGGGCCACCCTATGCACAGCGCAGAATAGCCAGGCTCTTCGCCTTGGGGCTGAGGAGCCAGGCTGGGCCTCAGGGCCTCTCTCTCCTCCCCTGGCTCAGGACCGCGTTTGTCTCCACAGGGGCTTTCCGAGGAGTATGCAAGAAAATCGATCACTTCCCTGAAGACGCTGACTATGAACAGGACACAGCTGAGTATCTCCTGCGTAAGTTCCCAGCTTCCGAGGTCTCCCCTCGCGGGGGGAAGGGTGCCCTGTGGGCACCAGGCTGCCTCTGAGCTGAAGGCTCCTTGATACGTGCCCCTAGAGATGGACACCTATAAAAGAGCTTCGGGGACCTCGGTTACTAGACAGACCTTTGAGTGGTTCTGATGTCTAAGTGTCTTTAATACGAATGAAGTAGAAATAGAAAAAAAAAAAAAAAAAGTAGGTGAGTCAAACCTGAAAAGTTCTTTTTAGTCTGCTTAGCAGAAAATCTATGGGATTTTCTTCAACTTGAATACAAGCTTTCACCTTCCCCAGGGGGTCGATTTGAGGTGCTAATGGGCACAGTGCCAATGGGTGAGGTGCTAATGGGTGATGATGTGCTAATGGGTGAGGTCCTAAGGGGCAAGGCCTGGGAGAATAAATGCCAACTGAAGTTCACCTCTCTTTGACTTCCCTCCAGTTTCAATCCTACTGGGGCAGGGCCAGTGTCTCCCTAGGATTGTCCCAAGGTCAGTAACCTGGATATGACACGGGACTGTCACAAGTGCAGCATGTGGGAGGCAGTAGAGTGTGGTGGCTTAGAGCAAGTGCTCTGGATTCTGGTTGACCCGGGTTTTCCTCTGATCTGACTCCCTCCCTGCCAGCTGGGTCGGACCTGGACCATGTTGGTTTACCTCTCCATTGCTTCGCTTTCTTTATCTAGTCAGAAATGGAGATTATAATGTCATCATCTGACGAGCTCGTGAAAATAAAATAAGCTCATGCACGTTGCCCTTAGCCCAGGGCCAGGATGGAGTCATGAAGCCATGTGTGTTAGCTCTTTTTCGTGGTTTGGGATGAGCAATAGCAAAGGCCAACTGCAGACACGGGCCTGACATTGATCCAGGCACAGAGAGAACTTGGGATTAATGTAATTTAAGTGTAATTCTTCAATGAGTATGTGTGTCGAGTTCACTCAAAAGCAAAATTCTAAGGCATTGACTAATTACTATTAGGGAGTGTTTAAAGTAAGATTTTGGTTTTTTTCTTAACTACTATTATAAATAAAAACTTTAAGAAATTGGCCTATTCAAATTATATTTGTAACTCATAGCTCAAGAAGAGTGTTTTTACAATTAAAATGATTTTTAGCTCTAGTCGTGCCTGCTAGTCTGCAGATGGGCTGTGGGTCTATATATGAGCCTTAAATCACATGACAATGTCAATGGTGCAGGGGTCAATTTGAAAGAAACAGTCATTTTTAAGCTAATTTTTAAAACATAAACATACCATTTCTCTCATTTCAGTCCTTATCTATCTACTAGGATTTATACCAGCAGCTCAGAAAGATTCGTTGTGGGGAATAAAGGCCACATGTTGACATGTAGCTTGACCAAAGTTTGGGGATGACATAAATTACTTGGGCCTCCTCAAAGTCATCACCAGTGGGTTTGACCAGCGTGCCCAAAGTTTTTCTCTCCTAATTTGATGACACATTTTGATGTTTGCCCTGTGACTGAACAGAGCTGTGACTTCTGTTTTACAACTCGCAAAGCTGATTTTAAGTTCTTTGGAGAGGTCAATCGCTTTCCCGACAAAATACATTTCTCCCCTCTGGGAAGATGGGCACCCTCACCATGGCCCACCCAGGCTTCACCATTAGCCACAGAATCAGGCTAAGGTTAAGGAGGGACCTTAACGAGCACATGAATTTCCTGTTGGGAATTCTGGAATCCCTGAGCCTACCATGTAGGGCTGGGGGCACGTTCCTGCAGGTGTCTCCAGGCCTGTCCAGTGTGTGCGCTGCCATTGTGACCACGTGCTAGTGGGACAGGATTCTGCACACTGGTTTTTCTGCTATTTCCTCTTTCTCCTGTGCTATTGGGTTGGCTACAGCTTAAACCTATAGCGGAAGTTTTAACGGCCCGCAGGTCCCGCTAACTAGAGACTCCCCACAGTATATATAGCCCTGGACTGGGCCAAGCCCTGCTCAGACACCAGTGGTGGAATTACACTGAACAGGCTTCCATCCCCACCCCTAAGACACCAGCTTAGCCCCAGAGGAGGAGGAGGAGAAACAGGGAAGCAAGACAGTAAAACCTTTTGTTCTGAAGCCACCACGTGTCCGCTGGGATAAAAGGATTCCTGCGTAGACCCCGACTGGCTCAGGAGAAAATGGCAGCAGCGAATGTCCTGTCTGCGGCAGACGCCTGTAGCCAGAGTTAACAGGATCTGTTCGTGTTTCATTTGTGGGGTGGAGAGTGGGCCACCAATTGGTTGCCAAATGGTTACTGCACCAAGTGGGAAATAGCCACGTTTACACAGCTCATGGTCACACATTTCAGATACACACAACCAACACAATTCAATAGCTTCCAACATTCGGATCATTTCCTTTGGGCATAATCATCCTTTAGCCATACTTTGAAATAAAAAAAATTATTTAAAAAAAGGGTACTCTCCTTTAACCAATTGAACTCATCATGTTGAATATCTGAGCAACTTCTTTTGAATACACAATGCAAATGATCACTTTAAACATTTGTTCACAAGTTCCTAACAAGTGCTTGAAACCATTGGAGGCAGACTCACCCCTGATAGTTGTGGGGCCTGGGGCCAAAGTCCTAATGGAAACCCACAGGTCATCCGTGTAAATATTTAGAAGTTATAAATAAAGCACACCCACAGCGGGGCCCATGTGCCCACCCAGGACCCAAAGCTTGCTTCCCGGGGATCACCCCTTGACCTGGGGGCTAGAGGAACAGGGGACCAGCTCTGCCCCCTGCAAGCCTGTGTGGTAGCAGAGATGTGCAGGACAGCGCAGGGCAGGCCAGAGGCCAGACCTGGGCCCAGGACTCCTGGGCAGTGACTGACCGGCCTGAAACCAGGATGGAGACTGACCTAATCACGGTCCCAGGGACAGGGTCTCCCCATGCCTCACTTCTCCCATCAGCATTTCTAGGCAGGTTGAAGCACTTCCCAAAACTCCACCATCGCAGCAGAGGGGCAGGAGGGACACGGTTACTGGGACCCTGGTCAGCCCAGACGCCAAGGTTGCATAATTTGGGGCAGCCGTCTTGAAGCAAAAGCAAGGACTCTTCCATTCTCTTCTCTCCATTGAGACCCTCCCCGCTGCGTGGCCTCAGCCCCTACCCCCAGTTCTCCTCGATCGGCCCTCCCAGACAACCCTCACTGGCTAAATCAGTTACCAAACTTTCAGAAAACTTTTTCCATGAGACTGAGAAAACCCCATCATGGCGCTGTGGAAGGAGCTTTGCAGCTGAAGCATGAGCACTGCCGCGCAGCAGCAAACGGAGACGGCTGGAGCTAGAGCCACAGCAGAACTCAATAAACGCGCAGGCTTAAATCTGCACCGACCCGCCACTGCTCCTCCCGCCCATGCACATGCCCTGTGTCACTAAGGGCACCACCGTTCACGCAGAGGCTGAGCACCAGACGTGGGAGTCCTTCTCAGCTCCTTTCTCTCACATTCCATTGCCAATTCTGTTGGCTGTATCTTCGAGATACATCCTGATTCCGACACCTCACCACCTCCAGTCTACCACCCTAGTCTGAGCCGCGGTCAGCTCAAGCCTCGTTCTTGCAGGCCCTCTCAGCCACACAGGGCCCGCCCTTACAAGGGCCCACACTTGGTTCAGTGCTCTGCTGTCGCCATCCTGAAATTCTTAATAATTTTGGAACATGAGGCCTTGCATTTTCATTTTGCACAGGGCCCTCCCAACTATGTAGCCGGTCCTGCCTGTCATCTCTACTAGAATGCAAGCCCCGTGAGGACAGGGACCTCAGCTCTTGTACACCAGTGAACACAGAATTTATTCAACTGTATTCTGGCCTGGGCCTACTAGGAAATACTCTTATACTGGTTGGGTGAATACTGGGATCCCCACCGTAGGAGCCCTCTCCCCGAACCTTAGGGTGTCTCCGTGATCCAGCAACTAAAGAGTTAACACAGGGGCCTCCAGGACACTGCTCCAGCTCTCAGTGACTTCCTGTTCCCTTGTGATTGTTAGACATTTCCACTAGTCTCCCAGGACACAGCACAGCACCTGGCACTTAGTAGGTGCTCAATAAATATTGTTGAATGAATAAATAAATTCGTTTGTTTATTCAGTGACTAAATGGATATTAAGTGTGTATTGCCAGACTCAGTGCTAGGCAAATGTAGGTGTGTGGTGGGAAAGATTCTGCATTTGGGTGAAGAGCATGTGATTGGATGGGAGCTCCTGGATGCAGGGCTGGCTACGTAATTTGCAGGGCCCAGTGCAAAACAAAGATCTCGGGCTCCTGGTTCAAAATTCAGGCAAAAAAAGCTTTTTTGTTTCGTCTGGGATCTCTCTCTTGACCTGTTATGGTGTCTTTTATTTGCTATTTAATGTCATATCCCTGGGGCACAGGGACACTCGAGGGGTGAGTATGTAGCCTCAAAATTACCTGGGCCTTGCACCCAACCTTGATTCTACTCGTGTCCACGCCCAGCCCCCACCAGGAGCAAAGCGTGGCAGAGGTCACTGGTTAGGTGGGAGAGTGGACAGCTGAGAACGTACTCCAAGGAGAAGGGGAGGTAGGGAGGTGGGGTCGCACTTAAGTCCGGGCTCCAAGCCCCGAGTGCGTGCTCCATTGGCCCATCAGACTTACTTATAAAAGACAAATTCAAAGATAAAATTATGAGGAATTGCAGGACGGTGACTGCAAGCGTTAACTGCAAGCCCAGAGCCCCAAGTGACCGCACTGGTCTCACGCCCATGTGAGCTGCGGCTCTGTCCCTCTGCTCGGGGGCTGTTTTCCCCTCGGCAGCCCCATGCCCATGCGGGGTTGGTCCTGGGGCTGGCTGGGGTGCAGGCCGAACCCTCTCTTGTTCTCTCCGCAGGGGCCGTGAGGGCCTCCAGTATCTTCCCCATCCTCAGCGTCACGCTGCTCTTCTTCGGTGGGCTCTGCGTGGCAGCCAGCGAGTTCCACCGCAGCAGACACAACGTCATCCTCAGCGCGGGCATCTTTTTTGTCTCTGCAGGTGAGCATCTGGCCCCAGCCCTGAGATCTTCACAGACACCAAACTCAAGCCAGGGCCAGGAGGACAAAGCAATGCTATTGAGGGTTCCCTCCAGGGAAAGAGCAAGAGAATGTTTGACTTGTGTTAAGAAGGAGGACCCAAAGCCTTTAAGTAGAACCAAAGGTGATGACACTCTAGCTCAGGGTGGCGTGATGGCGAGATGAGGAGGCAGGGTGGCAAGGTCAGCTCGGAGAGGGAGAGAGAGTGACTGAGAAGAGAGGGGGTGTATATGCTTGCACATGGAGGGGTGGGGGCACATACGGTGTAATGCGTGAACCTGAGACTACTTCAGTGTGCTTTAAAGGGGTCCAACTTTGTGTTCACTTCGTCATGTTCACCTACTATCTCTGGCCCTTTGAGACGTGCGCTTGCTGGTTAAGTACTGTTCCCAGCTTCTCAAGCGCTCAAATCCTCACACTGTTCAAACATGTCTCAGAACAAGGTAAAAGCGGGCAGCGCCAGAGGCTCTCAGGGAGGACTCTGAGCAAGAGGTGGCAAGAGGACGAGACAGGCTTCAGGAAGGGGTCCTAGTCTCTGCCTTCTCTCTCCCCTCTTCATCTGCACCCCGCCTCCACTCTCCTCGTCTTCCCCTCTTTCCCCTCCGTTCATCCCTTTGCCATCTCTTCCCACCCCACCCCTCAGTCAATGCCAGCTGCAAGAAATGCTTTAGAGAAGCAAAGAGCAAGGTGGGTGGGGGAGAAGGGGAATTGACACCTTGGTGATGACCTTCAAACTTTGCCCAATAACGGCATGATATTTTTTGGGGAGGGAACAAAGGGGAAGAGTCTCACATGGTGGGTAAGAGGGCCTCACCCCCTGGACTTGCCCACCGGCTCCACCTGTGGGGCCTTGGGAACACTACCAACTCCCTGTGACTTGGTTTCCTTGATGTAAATTGGGAAATAATCAGAGTACCTACTACACAGGGTTGTTGGAAGGAGGCTGAACATAAAAAGCACAGTATTATTTTCCAGTACTGGAAAAGCAGCAACAATATCTGTAGTTCCAAAGTCTGAAGCCCTGGCCCCTCTACCATCTTGCTCGGCTTCTGGCCCCACTGTTGCCCGCTCTGTGAAATGAGGAAGCTGGACCGCATCCAGCTCTGAGTCTCTGGGAACAGACTCCAGCAACAGACCAGGGAGAAAGCTGCCATCTTGCCACAGGCATGTGGTCACCCCAAAGGTGGCTGTGGCCCCGGACCACGCTTTGTGTGGACAGATGGTAACCCAGGGACTTGTGTGGCTTGGAGTCACGTTCTAGTCGCTGGCAGCCCGTCCAGACCTCCTGGGCTCTGACTGACCCAGAGGAGGATGTGTTGTGCTGACGTGCGGGTTTCCCAAACAAGAGAAGATCATTATTTTGTCCCCCAAGGGGATTGTTAGGGAAGAGAGTGTCACAGCTTTCTTCTCACAGGGCTGTTCTGAGAGATGGCAGGTAGATCAGACACACAAGAACTGGGACACACGAGGAGCAGGTGGCGAAAGCCCCGAGGAGAAGCCAGAAGCTTGGGGTCTGTTCATGGACTCCCCGCCCCTGCACACACACATCTCCTGGAAGACCTGAACAGCTTTAGTTTTTCCACCTATAAAATGAAAGTTTTGGAGGACTCAGCACTTTCTAAGGCTCTTTTTCGCTCAGCTGTTGTAAGGTTCTGTGGTTTCCTGCAAGCAATCAACAACCCTTTACTGAGCACCGACTGTGTGCCAGGCACCGTGCACGATGTTGGAGAGCACAGGCTCTGAAGCCAGGCTGCCTGGTGCAAATTTTGCCTCTACTACTTCCCAGCTGTGTAAACTCGGGCAAGTCTCTTGACCTCTCTGTGCCTCAATTTCCTCATCTGAAAAATGGGGCTAATAATGGCTCTACCTCTTCAGGCTGTGGAGAGGATTAAATGAGTTGGTATGTGTAACGTGCCCGGAACTGCTCCTAGCACACAGTAACTGTTACTATACAAATGGTACCACTTAATTCTTGGGCCGATTCAATTCGTTCACTCATTCAACAAATATGCACTGCAGTCTTGCTCTGGGTCAGGCTCTGCCTAGGGGATGGGGCTGTGGCAATGAACAAAACCAGCCAAGGCCTGCCCGCAGGGAGCCGACTGTCTGGTGGCTGGGAGGCAGCAATTGCCCGCTTATACCTTGTTCTTCCTAAGCTTTGTTACTGAAATCTAAACGTAGCCGTGGCTAAGAGACAGTCCTGGGTTCAAATCCCACCTCACTATGTCCTAGCTGTGTAAACTTGGGAAGTTATCTTCTCTGTGCCTCAGTTTCCTTGTCTGTAAAAAGGGGTAATCTTTTTAAAGTGGGCCCGTTGCAAGGATTGCGATGATGCTCATAAAGACTCCGCACACTGCCTGGTTCATAGTGAGTGCCCTATAAATAGATGGCAACTCATCTGGCTTCCTGCCTCCTTTCGCCTGGGCTGACATCTGAGCTTCTCTTTGAACTTCTTCGTTTACTTTTTCCCCGGCAAGACTCCCTTTGGGGGCTTCCCAAACTTTGCCACCAAAATTTCCCTGCTGGCAGAGGAGAGAGAAAAGCTGGCCCTGGGGAGTCAGGGGGCATCGCTAGAAGCCGCCTTCCGTGAGCTGAAATGTCTTTGAAGTCAGTCTCTCCTTTACACTTAAAAATTCATGTGAATTCTGCTCTCACCTCCTTATTATATCCATGTTCATTTTAATATAAAAGAATGTGTCTTCCTTACTAATCTTCAAGCCAAATTGACACTCCAGAAAGAGGAGCCATTTTTCATCCTGTGGTTTCCTGCAGCCTGACACTGGGCCGGCTGTGTCAACCCACATATTAAGGAATAGCTCAGTGATTAAAACGCGCTGTCTACCTGCTGAATGACTGAGCTGGGTCAGGCCAAGAGGAGACAGGGCAGAAGCAGACTCCAGCGCTGCCCTCCAGGGCAAGTCCTAGATGGAGTATGGCCAGGGATCACATGCAAAATATTAATTCCCCTTAGTGCTTGTGCACTGGCCAATCAGAGTGGTGGCACTGGAGCAGAGTCCACAGGCTCCTGCTATGCCCGGCTTTAACCCTTGGGTTGCTGGACTATGGGGAGATCTTGGGGATCCCCAGGAAGAGTATGGAGCATTCGAGGAAAAGAGGGGGTACTCAGAAGGCCCCTGGAAATGGTCATTTGCCAACTGGTGCCAGGAACAGACTCCATTTAGCACTACCCCACAGGTGGCCTAAATTTGGAGGCAAGGAGATTCCAGCTGATGTCCCAACCTCCCTGAGTCACAGTTGGTATCAAGGCCCAGATGAGGCCCTTGAAGCAGAAGGACAAAAACAGACATTTTGCCTTTGGAGCAATAATACGAGAAAGGTGGTCAGAGATGAGCACAGCCCCTGAGCTCTCAGGTTCTATCGTTTCTCCTTACTACTCCTTAGAGAATCAATTCCTCTCCGGCTGACTGGGCAGCTGTTTCCAGTGCTATTCCGCTGGCCCTTGGGAACACTAAGTCCGCAGGCATTGCCTTTTGGGGACAACAGCTTCATCTTCCCCAATTCCTGATGCTTGTACAACAGCTAATCTAAAGCATTATCTTGTCCTGTGCAGATGCAAAGACTTGGTAAGCTACTGTCCCAGCCACAGGCTCGTCAGTAACCAGACTGCACCTGCAGACCCATATATGTCCCCTGGACAGCCACATTTGCACTCTTGATAACCACTTCCTACTTGCTGTATCCAAATATCTCCTCTTCTCTAAACCTCTTCTCTCTGCTGCCTCTTATTTAGCTCAAGATGCCACCAACCTCCCCATCATCCAAGCCAGAACCCTAGCAAGTCATTCTCAATTCCTTCTCTCACACTCCATAGTCAATAGCCTTTCATCTCCTGGCTCACCCCTATTCAATTCAGGATCCAGCTCAAATGTCACCTTGTCTTCAAAGAGAGGTGGCTTAGTCATTCTCGCTCCCTTTGCTCCCGAGCCATTTTACATGTGTCTCTGGGAGAGCTCTCACTGTATTTTGCTATAATTGCATTTCTATGTCAGTCTCTCCTACTAATGGTGAAGAACTCGAGGCCAGGGACCTGTAGCGCCTTTATTTTATCCTTCTCATGACTTAGTGCTGAAGATTAAGTTTTGATGGAATGAATTGCTTTTAAGGGAAAATACCCGCATTCTGAGTCTGCTGCATTTGCTGTAGGGGTGGGATGTATTCTTCCGCTGAACGCACAACGCCTGGGACGGAGCCCTGGAATTCTTCATTTCCCAGGAGACAGACCATGCGACAGGAGCTCAGCGGGTGGATTTCCTGGCCATGAATCCATTCTCCTCTCTCCCTGTTACCTCCACATTCTCTATAAATATTTCAAGACTAAAAATGACAGTTACCTCTGAGCTTTCTAAAAGACGTATTTTTCTTTTCCCTTCTCTTAGGGTTAAGCAACATCATCGGCATCATAGTTTATATATCAGCCAATGCCGGAGACCCCGGGCAGCGAGACTCCAAAAAAAGCTACTCCTATGGCTGGTCCTTTTATTTCGGAGCCTTCTCTTTCATCATCGCGGAAATTGTGGGTGTCGTCGCCGTGCACATCTATATAGAAAAACATCAGCAGCTACGTGCCAAATCCCACTCGGAGCTCCTGAAGAAATCTACTTTTGCCCGCCTTCCACCCTACAGGTATAGATTCCGGAGGCGGTCAAGTTCTCGCTCCACGGAGCCCAGATCCCGAGACCTGTCCCCCATCAGCAAAGGCTTCCACACCATCCCTTCCACTGACATCTCAATGTTCACCCTCTCCCGGGACCCCTCAAAGATCACCATGGGGACCCTCCTCAACTCTGACCGGGACCACGCTTTTCTACAGTTCCATAATTCCACGCCCAAAGAATTCAAAGATTCGCTGCATAATAATCCGGCCAACAGGCGCACCACGCCGGTCTGAACTGACCTCTGCCCTCTGCCCCTGCACAGCCTTGGGGGAAGCGTACAGAGGTGTCTCCGAGGTTGCATGGCATGGTCCTCGTGATGGTATTACTTTTTACAAAGAATGAAACCAAATGGACTCAGCTCTCTCCCACACTTTGCCCCTCACCCTCCAAGTCCTAACCCCTCTGTTCCTCCCCAACTTTCAAGCCAAACCCATGATGTCATTCCCCTCTTTGTGTATCTGTGCCAGATGTTTTCCTCTCTTCCTTCTTTACTGGAAGGACCTCCACATTCTTCCCTCGTTGGAAGAGGACTTCACTCAAAGTCACAGGTGGTGGCTGGGGGTGGGGATCCCTGAATCCCCAGGAGGCGTGTGCAGAGTTGTCCCCATTGTCTACTCACACAAATCCTCGAGCTACCAACCACCCAGGTGGCCCTGAGGGAGGCATTCACCTTTACGTGTTACAAAAACATGACCAGAAATCAAAGATGTCAGAGCCCCGAAGCAGCTAATGTAATAAGCACTCATGTTATTAAAGGTTTTGCCTTGTCGTAACCAATGGAGCTGGGAGTGGTGTTCTTCTGGGTACGTCTGCACAAACTCACTGCCCTGTCATCCAGCTGGCTCATCTCTGTGGTGGAAGCTGGGCTTTGCTCATCCACACTCGGGCCACTAGGAAGGATCCCCCTGCACCCCTTGAGGCCAGCAAGGTGCTCTTGCCCATATCAGGGTGGGTGTGTCCCTCATCCGAATGGCTGGAGGCTAGCTGGGGGTGGGCGTGTGAATGCTGGTGTTCAAAATCTGGCTCTGGCACACAGCAGCTCTGGGACCCCGGGCAAGTCCACCTAAACTTCAAGCCTCAGTCTCCTCATCTGTCAAATGGGACACAGTAACAGTACTCTCCTCCATAGAGTCGTGAGGCTTCAGTACAATGTCGCGTGTAAAAGGATTAGCACTTTGGAAATAATCCATATATCTTTTTTAACCTGGGGAGGATTCCAGGCAGAGTTAGCATTGTCTTAGTCAGCTCAGACTGCTGTAAGAAAATACCACTTGTCAGGGGGGCTTAAACAACAGACATTTATTTCTCACGGTTCTAGAGGCTGGAAAGTCCAAGACCAAGGAGCCAGAGATTGGGCTCCTGGTGGGAGCTCTCTTCTTGGCTTGTAGACGCGGTCTTCTTGCTATGTCCTCATATGGAGGAGAGAGAGAAAGTGTGTGTGTGCGTGTGCGCGTGCACGCGATTAAGCTCTCTTTTCCTCTTCTTATAAAACCACCAGTCCCATCATGGGGGCCCCACCCTCATGGCCTCATCTAACCCTAATTATCTCCCAAAAGCCCTGTCTCCAAATACCACCACGTTGAGAGGTAAGGCTTCAACACGTGGATCTGGGGAGGACACAATATAGTCCGCAGCAAGCGCTGTTGCAGGAAGATGAAAGCTAAACGGGAGCTATTCCACATGGCACAGGAGGGGAGGAGGGCGCTCTGTGCCAGCTCTGGCTCCCCGGGGAGAGTGGAAGGACAGTTGGATATTTTGAATATTCAATATCAGAAAGCATGAGAGGCCCACGTCGTCACCTCTGCCAACCCCGACTTCCTGGAGTGCTTTTGGCACACACCCAGTATTTCACAGCTCCAGGGAGCTGAGCCACATAGGATTCCAGTCACTCTGGGGGCAGAGTTACAGTTGTAAGAGCTCACACTGACCCAACATCGCTTGTACCGGGCTGTGTCCTAGCACTGTGCACTCATGTCATGGTTTAATCCTCCCAGTACCATCCCCATTTACCTAGGAGGAAATGAGGCAAGGGAGCTTCCCGATTTGCCCAGATTTCAGCCCCACTGTGGGATGGAAGTCCTGGGAAGCTGGCCACTGTCCACATGCACCTGGTGAATTTGATTGCAGAGTTCAAACTAGCAACAATTCATTTTGTTTAACACTTAAGATTCATCGCAAGCAAACCACACTCACAGACATCAAATGACCTCATCGAATCCTTAAAACAACCCCCCACACAGTAGGAATTATTGTCTGCATTTTGGCAGATGAGGAAATAGAGGCTCAAAGAGAGTAAGTGTCTTGGGTGCTAATGAGCAGAGCCGGCGCTTATAGGGAAGCTCTGGTTCCACACTCGACAGGCTTCTTCACTCTTCCAGCATTTTCCCAACCTCGGTCATCTGCGTACGACCCTTGTGAAGTGTTTCATATCCACACACCACATCAACAGTTATGTATCTCATGTTTCTCTTTAAATTGACTCGCTTTTTACTTCAATAAACATATTTTGAAAGTGAACTTTATATCACTACTGTGAAAAGAAAACTGAATTACTTGCCATAAGCAAGTAGTAACTGGGAAAATAAATACAACAAAAACAAAACAATCAAGCCATATTCTGGCTGCTGCCTATTGTAAGCTGAAGGCCGGCTGCCTGCTCTTTGTAAAAAAGATACAACCGAAGTGTTAGAAAGGTGTTAAAGATAAGACAGTCTAGCACCAGAGAAGGTGCTTAATCAGAGAGATCAAAGGAGGAGCAAAAGGGAACATCCTTCCCTCTGTGGGCTTCATGCCTCTAATCCTGCGCCATGTCACCTCGAGTTGTCTCGTCCCCAAAGCGGCTCCAGGCACCTTGGAGAGGGGAGGATCTGAGAGATGGAGCAAAAAGGTGACGAGCAGTGGTGAAGCGGCAGATGCAGCAACCTGCAGCCCTGGGAACTAGGACTTCGTCAACCACAGGGCATCTGGGTCGCTGATGGAGCATGGAAAGAAGGGTCCCAGGGGCTTAACTAGCGGGACGCCTGCTCTGGAGACCCAGGTCAAAGCTCTTCTGCAAAGGCCACAGAGCTGGAGGAGAGACGTAGGCGCCTGACCCCTGGGAGGACCCCCGCACCATCTCAGTCTGCTCCCTCCAGGGCTCTGGCACGTGGGCCCTCCAAGTGCCTTTGCCTGAAGACTGCTCAGCTGGCCCAAGCTGGCTGGCACCAAATAAACATTAATATTACCACTCCCGGTTCCCAGCCAGGACCCCGGGCAGTCCTTGTGGTCCCAACCCCTCTGAAGAGTGTTCACATTCACTGGGCCCCCACTGTGTGTGCCAAGCAATGTACCGTGACCCTCCCTGATTTTGTCTCATTCAAGCCTAACCTTTGAGATCAGTGCTATTGTTAAACTCATGGGACAGGTGTTGAAACTTGCAGAGAGACAGAAAGCACTTCCTCGTGCCTCCGAGCAGATGCAACAGCCCGTCACTAAGCTTTCCCAGCCACACTTCTCTGATCTCTTGCTCCTTTCTGAGTTCCCCTTCTCCTCAAAGGCTGTTCCCCTCCCTTTCCCGGCTCACTCATTTCTGGCCCAGCAGCATCCTACCTCCCGTCTCAAGACCAGAACCCTTGGGTTCCTCTGTCACGCTTCTCTACTCTGCACCCCCCAGAGCTGATCTTTTGCCAAGTTATGGAAGGGGAGAGGCAGCTTGGCGTAACGTTCCAGCACACAAACTCTACAGCTGTATCTCTGCCCAGATTTGCATCCCAGCCCTGTATTTATCAGCCATGAGAACTCTGACAAAATAATCTCCCTGTGCCTCAGTTTCCTCATCTGTAAAATGGACACGAAAATAGTACTGACTCCATGAGTTTGTTGTGAGGATTAAATGAGCTTATTTTCGTGAAGCACTTGGAAAACTACTTTAAAGATAATAATCACCATACAAATATTAGCTATTGTTATTTAATACCATTCTCAGACTTATATTTTTCCTACTCGGGCCCTTTCCCACCCAGACAGTCTTATTTTCCAGATCTTGTCAACACACACCTCTGCTCTACTCAGGCCGGTGTCCACACTGCTCCCTGGCTATACCATACTTATTCCCAATTCTCTGGTCTTGCTGACGAGTGTGTCCCTGCCTGAAATGTTTTCCCTTGTTCTCTCCAAATTCGGTCCATTCTTCAAGGGCAAGATCAAGGCTTGTTCCTTCCATGAAGTCTTCAGTGACTCCTCAGGCCACATAATCTCTCACTTCTTGGCATTCATTCATTTATCCAGTACCTACTGTGTGCCAGAAACAGTCACAATCTCGACAGATATGACCACTTCCCTCACAGAATTCTCAGTCCAATGGGGGAGACAAGCATTAAGCAGGTAAACACACATCAACATCATTTAAAGTTGTAATCTGCATCATTAAGGAAAATATAGAGCAGAAAGTGCAAAGGAATATAAACAGGGCTCTGTAATTCTGATGGAGGGTCAAGGATGAGGAGGTGACATTTACAATCAGACCTAAAGGAAGAGTTGGAGTTATCCAAGTAAAGGGAGGGAAGTATGGAAGGACGAAAACACAAAGAGCATGTGCAAAGGGCCTGAGACTGGAGAGACCAAAGAAAAAAAAAGGCCAGTAAAGCTGGAGCACAGAGTGAGGGGAAGAGTAGCATCAGATGAAACCAGATGGGAAAGCTGGATCCAGAGGACATGGCACCATGAATTTTGACCCTAAGTGCATTCAGAAGCCATTTCCGAGTTTTCATCAGGGGCACGTTAGATACCACCTAACATGCATTTTCAGAAGTTAAATAAGTCAGGCGCACAGCAAAACACTAGTTTCCTAAGTCTTATCTCTGGAAATACTTCTTTAAGAGCTTGCATCATTGCCTGCTTTGTCCATGACCTTGTCCTGGACGGGACTCTGCCTCCAGCCACAGCTGACCGGGTCACAGATTGCACCTGACCCAAGGCCAGCCAATCCATTCACAGCCATCCATAGGGTAGCCGGTGGCCTAGGATTTGTGACTGGACTTAGAAAGGTAAACTGAGCCAATCAGATGACGTCTGCTGGGAATTTCAACTAAGGGACATGGAAAGCAGTTGCTAGTAGGCTAGAGGGGAGCAGAACAGAAAAGATATAAGGAAGCTTTGGGACCAGGGCAGCGACAATGGGCAAAACGCAAGCTGAAGTTACTTAAAAAAGAAAAAAGCAAAACTGTTTGGTAAAGAAAAGACAATCCTGCAAAGGCTTCCTGTCGCACTTAAATAAGATACATTTTGCCATGGTCTCCAAGGTCGTGCCTTTATTGAGACCATGCTAACCTATCCAACTTTACTCTATGCCACTTTTCATCCTGCTGCCTACACTCCAGTCATGTGTCCTCCCTTTTCAGTTCTTTGATCCAGCCAAACATATTTCTGCCTCAGGGCCTTTGCACCTGCCATTCCTGCTGCTTGAAATCTCTTGTGTCTCTTTATATGGCTGGCCCCTTCTCATCCATCAAGTCTGAGCTGACAAGTCACCTCTTTGGTGAGGACTTCCCTCATCAGCCCTCGAAAGGAGATCCCCTGTTACTCTTTAGTATAGTCCATACTTACTCCCTTGATAGCTCAAAAGTCTGTAATATTTTATTTTTTGTGTGTTTGCTTACTTACTAGAACATAAGTTCTGTGAGAGCAGTGTGCTTGACCGTCTTGTTCTCCACTGTTGTCCTCCATGGAGCTGGTCACCTGGTGGCTGCTCAGATATCTGAAGGAGGGAAGGAGGGAAAGAACAAGAAAGCCTGGAGAACTGCTTGGAGGAAAGCAGAAACACCGCCAGGAGAGGAAGGAGGGCTTCCTCGGTTTCTAACGGCTTCCCCGTCCCCTTCCCTCAGGCCCAGCTGGACTGCAGCCCTCAGGTCTCTGGGAGCCTTTCTCCGCACTCTGTCAACAATCTCCCCTCTCCTCGAGCCTCCGGGAGTCTCTGTTCCTAGTTACCAAGTGAACAGACTAGAACCCATGCCTCCAGAAGCTTCCAGAGCTGGGCAACACCCAGCCATATGGGGGCAGCCGAGAGTCCCTCTTAGGGTCAGCAAGACAGTTGGACCAGAACGGTATTTAGTCAGAATGTTTACAGAAGGGAGAGCGGAACCTCAAACGCAGCTCAGTTCAGGAGGAGCCGAGACGGAGAAACAACCAGAGACCAGCAGCCAAGTGGCAGAGACTGAAAGCTGCTAAATCCTCAGTCTAGGATCAAAGCCACCATAATGGCAGTGGCAAGGTCAGGTGACCAGGCTGAAGGCAAGCAACTCCTAGATGTTAGAGCAAATCCGCGGAATGCTGATTGCCTCTTTGTAAATAAAAACACCACCAACCAAACCGCCCCGTTGTGAGGTGGTGGTCTGGACTTCGTGGGTCCTTCTCCAAAACTTTCAGTAAGAACCTTTAGGCTGCAAACAACACCTGATTCTAGCTTAGCTAGACTCTATTTGTCAGGTGGACTACACTATCTGTCATAACAAAACCCCAAATCTCAAGGGCTTAACCCAATAGCCCTTTATTTTTTGCCCACGCAAAGTCCAATGTAGGTGCTCCTGGCCGAGCTGCACTCCTGGACGGCTCTGCTCCAGCCTGTAACCAGGGAACCAAGCTGCTTCTGTCTTTTAGTCCTGCCATCTTGTGGCTTCAGGGTTACCCTGATGTCACCCACCTGGCTAGATCGGGGAAGGGGACAGGGGTGGTGGTGAGAAGGTGAAGGATCAGGCACCTGAATTTTTTTTTTTTTTCAAGATTTTATTTTTTCCTTTTTCTCCCCAAAGCCCCCCGGTACATAGTTGTGTATTCTTCGTTGTGGGTTCCTCTAGTTGTGGCATGTGGGACGCTGCCTCAGCGTGGTCTGACGAGCAGTGCCATGTCCGCGCCCAGGATTCGAACCGACGAAACACTGGGCCGCCTGCAGCGGAGCGCGCGAACTTAACCACTCGGCCATGGGGCCAGCCCCTCAGGCACCTGAATTTAACCACCTTGACCCAGAAGTAAGCCACTTCATGTCACATTCCATTAGTGAGAACGAGTCACGTGGTTCCCTCTAGATTGCAGGGGAGGGGATGCTGGAAATGTCATCCGTGGCTGGAGACTTGCTTCCAAGGACTAACTCTACATAACACGGGTATGCACGGATCTTCGGCAGGTGACTAGTCATCTCTGCCAAACAACCTAAGGAAGAAAAATGTATCTTCCATAAAAAGAAATCTCGAGATAAACGGGCCCCAAGCTTAGTTAATTCAGCAGCTCAAAGATAAATTTAAAGACCCACAGTCTTTCCGTGTTTTCACACTTGCATCCTTAGGCCAGTATCCATCAAATGCAGAGACAGCACCTAACAGGAGAGCTGCCGCTCTCCTGTGTATCTTGAAGCGGGAAGAAACCTTTCTTAGAAGCACTCCGTTAGACTTTCTCCTTATTCTCACTGACCGCAACTGGGTCACGTGGCCACCCCTAAGCCAGTCACGAATAGGGGGAATGGAATCACCATGACAGTTCTCAGCCCTAGCTGCGCGTTAGCACCAGCTGGAGGAAATTTTTTAAAATACAAATGTCCGCCGCCTAGATTCTCATTTATTTGGTCTGAGGGGAGCCTGAGCTTCAGAAGTCACCAGCTGATGGTTTAAGGACCAAAGTCCATTCACATTCTTCTTTAGCTTGATCCATGGGATGTTTACAAAAATTGGGAACTTAAAATGATAAAGCAAATTGGGCAAAATGTTAGCAACTGGTGAATCTGGGTAAAGGGTATAGGAGCTCTTTATGCCATCCTTGCATTTTTTTCTATAGGCTTGACACTATATTGAAATAAAAAGTGACCAAAAAAAAAAAGGAGAGGGCCGGCCCGGTGGCGCAGCAGTTAAGTTCGCACGTTCCACTTCTCGGCAGCCCAGGGTTCGCCGGTTCGGATCCCGGGTGCAGACATGGCACCGCTTGGCAAAAGCCATGCTGTGGCAGGCGTCCCACATAGAAAGTAGAAGAAGATGGGCACGGATGTTAGCTCAGGGCCAGTCCTGCTCAGCAAAACGAAGAGAGTTGGCAGTAGCTAGCTCAGGGCTAATCTTCCTCAAAAAAAAAAAAAAGAAAAGAAAAGGAAAAGTGGGAACTTACACATAAAAGTCAGGATTTGGGGCTTCTCTTGAAAATCAGGAAATCTGGAGAAACTGGGTCTGTATTCCTGCAGAAAATAAAAAGCAGCCAAGTAGCAGTGCCCAGGCCTCGGGTCAAGCCCATGCCAGGGCCTGTGGTGTTGTTAGCCAGAGCGCAGGTGAGCCTTAGAATCAGGCGTGGGAATCACTCTCTGGAGTCCTTTCAATTTTTATTCATTTTCTTCTATCCTCTTCCGTCCTCTTCCAGCCTCTAAGTATAGCTGGGATTATTTTTTGCCAAACACAGCACCTTGCACTTGCCCACACTGAAGCTCCTCCTTGGCAACTCCTCTGCCCACTCGCACAGCCTGGTGAGATCTTCCCGCAGCTTATCACCAGCGGCTTGGCATTTCACTACCTGGCACAGCTAAGTGTCATCAGCGAATGTGGGGCTCTCACCACTTACTCCTCCACATTAGTTAGGCAAATGTCAAATAGGACCAGGCCCAGCACCGACACCCCACTGTTTGCAATTAATTAATTAACTAACTCATAACAACCCAACTAAGTCTCCAGCTGCAAGCAGAAGCAGCCAACTGCGGTTAGTTTAAGCAACAGAGGAATTTCGTGTAAGTTGGGGCTTCTCCACAGCGGTGCTATTGAAGTTTGGGGATGGGTAATTCTTTGTGGTGGGGGACGTCCTGTGCACGATAGGACTCTTAGCAGCGTACCTGGCTTCTACTCACCCCGATGCCAGCAGCTCCCCTCCCACCCCCCAAGTTGTGATGACCAAAAATATCTCTAGACGTTGCCAAATGTCTGGGGTCGGGGAGGGAGGAGTAAAATTTCTCCCAGTGAGAAAGCTAAGAGCGAAGCCTCAGAAAAGATGGCCATCTGAGTCATTCCAGGGTTCTAAACAGCAAGGACTAATAGACGGTTGACTTTGAATCCTGGCTCCACCGTCTCCTAGATGTACGACTTCAGTCAAGTTACTTCTCTGTGCCTCAGTTTCCTCCTCTGTGAAATGGGATAATCAGGATAGATTGGGGTATACAGAGGAAACAAACACCTGCAAATATCAGTAGCTTAAAACACATGCTCTGTGCCCAATGTGGTCAGCTGGGGCTCTGCTCACGCTGTCCGCTCCAAGAGACCCAGGCTCCTAGAGGCTCCACCATCTGGACAGTGCTGGTCAGAACGACAAGGAGAAAAGAAAGAGAAGTGATAAACTGGCTCTTAAATGTTTCCACCTGGAAGTAATGCACGTCATTCCTGCTCATAATTCATTGATCAAAAAAAGTCACGTGGCTCTACTGAATTTGAAGGAAGATAACAAAGTGGAAATCTATCTACCTGGAGAAAGGAGAAGAGGAAATATTGACTGATAAACAGCACCAATGTTGGACACAAGTAATAATAATACTGATTTCATAGGTTTTCGGGAAGGGAAAACTAATTAATACATACAAAGTGCTTAGAACGGTGCCTGGCATCTATTAAGTGCTCAAAGAATACTAGCTTATTATTATTTATTAATGCAGCAAGTGTTTATTGAGCATTGTGATGGTCAGTTGGCTGACCATTATTTCTGACTGATAACAACCCAGTTATTCCAACAAACACTAACCTAGGTGTTGCTCTGAAGGAATTTTGTAGACGTGATTAACACCTACAAAATGTTAGACTTTACAGGGCTTATTCTCAATAACCTGGGTGGGCCTGATGCAATCAGTTGACGGGCCTTCAGAGCAGAACCAAGGCGTCCCTGAAGAAATTCGGCCTGCATCGGACGGCAGCGTCAGTTCCTGCCCAAGTTTCCAGCCTGCCCTTCCTAACGGCCTGTCCTGCAGATTTCCGATTTGCCCGGCCAGCTCCAGAATCACATAAGCCAATTATTTGTGATAAATCTCTTTACAGCCTTAACTCTCCGTACCCTCCTCCCTCCCTGCCTCCTCTCCTCCCACCACCGCCTTGTTAAAAGGCATAAATCCTGAGTTTTCTTGCCCAGTTCTGGTATTGACTCATCCCAGGTTTCTGACCTTTTTGTCCTGACTCCCAGCCTCCCTGGTGGAAGTTTCCTGGCTTGACCCACAGCTCCTCATCCTCCTGGTTCTTTCTCTCTCCTGCTACTTCTCACCTCCTCAGAGGACCAGCAGTTTCTTCCCCTGTGTTGGGTGTCCCAAGGACTAAAGGGCTGGGAGAGCAGATTTTGAGCTACATGACCTTGACGTTCTTGCCACGTGAGCTCCGCGCCTGCTGCCCCAGCCCCGCCTTCTCTGTCTTTAAAACAGGTCCAGCTCAGGTGCCTGTTCTGCGACTTCAGGCAAGTTGCTTTCTATGCTTCAGTTTACTCAGCTGCTGGATGGGATCAGGATACACCACATCGAAATACGCCACTTTGGCATGACGATTATTTTGAGCTAAAGGCAATCAAGAAACAGCAGATGCAGAAAAATCTCTTTCCTCCCCATTTCTGCATAAAGGCAGGGCATAAATTTCCCTTTGTGAAGGTGTCCACCCTCCCCCACTCCCACACCAGGAAGAAGAAAGGATTCTGATCACTGGAGATGGCACCATAAGCATAAGCAAATGTTACTGAAATAACCCTTGTCTTCCATTAGTTTCCCCCATATATTTACTTTCCCACAATTTACTGCTCCTAGAAGCTCAAACCTTTTTCTTTTATCTTGTCACTTCTCCACAAGTTTATCACCCTGTGTTAAAATGGTATATGAGCTCGCAACCCAACCAGTTCTTTGACTTTTCATTTCCTTTCTGTGAGATCCCCATATACATGTAAAAAATTATAATATTAACATCAAATTAAAATGTGCATGCCTCTTCTTCGTTAACCCGTCTTTTGTCAGTTTAATGTGCAGGGTCTCAGGCACAGAATGTAAGAGGGTAGAGGAAAACATTTTTCCTCTCCTATACCGCAAAATGTGGATAACAACAGAATCCACCTTATTGGCAAAGTGAGGATTAAACAAGAGAATGTTTGTGTGGCACTTAACACATGACCAGCTCATAGTCAGTGCCTAATAAGTGAGCACCTGTTAGATAGTCACCAGTACTAGTCCTATCTACCTCCACCTCCAGCCTGGGTATCCTTGCCCCTTAAGGTCCCAGGACAATTTAGAGAAGGCAGAACAGCTGAGTCACAGAAACATCGCCGATTTAATTAACCAAAGGAAGCAGGCAATCCCCACTCCAAGTCTATCTCAGGAAGGGGAACTTCTAAAACCCAAAACTTACCGTCTTTTCTTCAAACTCAGCCCCTCCCATCACGTAAGGAGACACCTCCCTAAGTAGGGAGCCCGAGGGAGCTGGCTTCTCCCTCCTGACACTGATCCACTCTGTCTCCGGTGAAAATGTCAATATCGCCACCCCCACTGGGGGATACTCACGTAAAGTCTTGTGCTTTGAAGTGTCTCAGCTCACCTACAATTTTACATATCAAGAGGGAAGAGGACCACAAATCATTATTGGCAAGAAAGATAGGGGACTAGCAGAGGTCGGGTATTCTAAAGCAATTAGCTGGGACAACAGAAGGAACAAAGACAAGACATTATGCAAATGGAGCCATTCCACCCTTGAGAAGATAGTGTCCTGCCTGAGCACAAAGGGAGGCATTTAAAGCAGCCCAGTGCATTCCAATTCTGTTTGAATATTAAGCTTCCTCATGATTAATATTAGGGCCGGGAGCATCAGGCCTCTGAATGTTAACACTGTCATATTTCTCAATAATTATGTTAGTATTAACTGTATTTGATTTTAAGTATCTCACTACATTGGGTGGGAGTCAGTTCAGTAATAAATCTTATATTTCTCCAAAATAACTCAAAACTGGCTTAAGCCCACCCACACCTTCCCCCTTTTTTGCCCTTTTCGCCTGCATAGCCTTTTGAGGTCTTCTAAACGGGGAGCGGTCTTTGAAAAGAAGTCAGTCCTCAGGAAGGCAAACAGTGTATGATTTTAGTTACTTCAGGAGCAGGCAAGCCACAGCTGAATTGGAAGAGAGCCCGTCTATCCCTCAGCCCTTGTCCACAGGACCAGAACTCTTCCTTACTTCCACCTTGAGAAACCAAGAGAAACGAAGATGAGCGCTCATGCCTCCCCGCCGGCAGGAGAGAGCAGAGCACAGTAGACACCCGAGTCGGCAGGGTTTGGGCAGCTTGGGTGGCTGGACTTTATTACTTGTTGGAGAGGATAGCAGATTTTAAGGAAAGGACATCTGGGGACATTGGCAGGCTTCGGCGTGGGAAGGAAATAAGGAGAGAACTGGGGAGCAGCTTCCGTGTCCCGCCCACCCGGAGTCAACACCTCTCTCTGACGGCACACGTGGCTGTCTGTTCAGTGGAGAATATCCTTCCACTGACCTCGGCTGTCACGATGCTGAGGTCAAGCCAGGGCAGCCCCTCGGGGGAGGACAGTTCCAAGGAAGCGCCCATCCCACTGAGCTGAGCATCTGCCCAGCTTTTCCACTCAACGCTCCCAACGCACGGCCCCTGGTACCAGCCATCCAGGAAGCGCTGTCTTTTTATCCATCCTAGGGATTCATCCAGGAGTTCCTCATCTCTTTTTTTGTTTTGTGTTTGTATGCGAGGAAGATTCGCCCTTAGCTAACATCCGTTGCCAATCCTCCTTTTTTTTTTTTTTTTTTTTTTTTGCTTGAGGAAGATTGTCCCTGAGTAACATGTGTGCCACTCTTCTTCTACTTTGTATGTGGGATGCCACCACAGCATGGCTGTTGAGTGGAAGTTGGTCTGCACCCAGGATCCGGGCCACAAACTCGGGTCGCCAAAGCAGAGGGTGTGGAACTTTAACCATGGGGCCGACCCCTCCTTTGAGCTCTTAAAAGCTCTGATTTCACTCCTTCAGGAAGATGAGGATAGCCACCCCTTACAGGTAGTTCCTGGGTTGTTCCTGGGAGGTCCCACAGTCACCTGGAAGCTTCTCTCATTTGATCCTTAAAGACTGTTAAGACTTCCCCTTCCCGGAAAAGGCAGCCGGATTTCCTGCAGGGGTGCCAGAGTGTCCCAACACAAAGGTGCAGGACTGATAATAGAGCTTGTGGTACCGCTGCCCCCAGGGCACAGAAAGTAACTCTAATTTCTGCCATGGCGTCTGCTACACAAACCGAAGCTGGGTTATCTTCAGAGAGGCTCAGGGGGGTTAGGATTTCAGGTGCCTGGTGGGGACCTCGCCCTACAGGTTCCCCCCCCACCCCCGCCACGTCCCCCCAATAGGATGGAATCTCAGTCTTTCGCTCACCAGTGGGAGATAAACGGCTAACGCGTCAACTGGCCTGGGAGAGGGAAACACGCATATGCTTTTCCAGTCCGAGCACAGACAGTTAAGTCTTAAGAAGGAGTTCTTCTCCTTTATCTGCTACCCCCCACTCCATTTTATTATATTATGTATTTTATACTAATTACATTGATAATAATTATATTAGTTATAAACTATATTATATCTTATTATTTTCCTTCTCCCATGCAGTCTGTCCAATACTCCACAAGCCCCTTCCTCAAGCTGAGCTACCCACCCCCCCCCATAATAATAAAGCGCCAACCCCCCAGGCTGGTCTCACATGTGGCAGACTATGCCATCTCAAGTGGCCACTGAATATGAAGAGATTTGTCCTCTGCTCTTTCTGCTGGTGGGGAAGGTGCACTTTGATACTTTCTTCTCGTTTTTCCAGGCAGTGAGAAGGAAGATCCTGGTCCCATGGATGAAGGATGCAAGGAAAATGGAGACGGTGGATATTTCCACTCCAGGCTATACCTTGTTATCTCCTAAGGTAACTGAAATCAGACGCCAGGTTAATTTCCCTTTTGTAAACCACTCCCATTTAGGCTACCTGAGAAATATGTTTGTCTCTTATGAATTGATCTTGACCATAAACCTTGAGAAATAATAATTCTAGCCTTGTTGTGCTAAAGACACAGAGACTCCTTTCTCTTTTTTTTCTGTTTTTTTTGTTTGTTTGTTTTTGAGGAAGATTGTCCCTGAGCTAACATCTGTGCCCATCTTCCTCTACTTTATATGTGGGACGCCTACCACAGCATGGCATGCCAGCTGGTGCCATGTCCGCACCCGGGATCAGAACGGGCGAACCCCGGGACGCCGAGAAGCGGAATGTGCGAACTTGACTGCTGTGCCACGAGGCTGGCCCCCAGAAACCCCTTTCTTTCTCTTTTTTTTTTTTAAAGATTGGTACCTGGGCTACAACTGTTGCCAATCTTCTTTTTTTTTTACCCAAAGATTGGCACCTGGGCTAACAACTGTTGCCAATCTTTTTTTTTCTTTTTTTCTGCTTTATCTCCCCAAATCGCCCCCCGTACACAGTTGTATATCTTAGTTGCATGTCCTTCTAGTTGTGGGATGTGGGACGCTGCCTCAACGTGGCATGACGAGCGGTGCCATGTCTGTGCCCAGGATCCAAACCCTGGGCCGCCACAGCGGAGCACGCAAACTTAACCACTCGGCCACGGAGCCAGCCCCGAAACCCCTTTCCTGATACAGGTTTTATTCCAATACAGCCCCACATTTACTGAAAGTGCCTCTACCCACCCTCCATATCAGTTATTCTGAACCCTGGCTACACAGTAGAACCTTCTGGGAAGTTTAAAAAAAACCCTATTAGCTATTTATAGACATTAAACATACACTTGCCCTATGTCCCAACAATTACCCTAAGAAAAAAAAGTGCACCAAAAAATGAACATACACCCAAAGATATGTACAACAACGTCTGTAGGAGCTTTTGTTATGATAGCCAAAAATTAAAAACAAATTTCTATCATAAACAGGATGGATCAATATATTGGGACATATTCATTCAATGGAATGAATTACGGTTGTTCCCTGCAACATTGATGAATGTCACAGACATTGTGTTAAGGGAAAGAAGCTAGATCCAAAGGAGTGTGTGGTCCCATTTATATGAAGTTCAAGAACAGGCAAAATGGATCTAGGGTGATAGAAGGCGGATTAGTGGTCCTCTGTTCTGGGAGGTGGGAGGAGTTACTGTCTGGGAGAGGCATGAAGGAGCTTTCAGCGGGAGAGGGGCTAGAAAATTCTACAGCTTCATCAGGGTGGTGATACATGGGTGTATATTTATGTAAAAATTCATTGAGCAGTACACTTAAGATTTGTGTACTCTACTGTAATATAACTCAATAAAAATTTTTATGAAATAAGTAAAATTATATAAAGTACAAAATACCTATGCCAGGACACCCCTTCCCTGAGAGTCTGATTCAATTGGGTTTGAGTGGGGCCCTGACAAGAGGATATTTTAAGAATCCCAGGGAATTTTTTCCAGCTTTCTTGAGATGTAGTTGACACAGAACATTGTGTAAGTTTAAGATGTATACGGTAATGATTTGCTATACGTATATATTGCCAAATGATTACCACAATGAGGTTAATTAATACATCCATCACCTTATAAGTTATAACTTTGTGCATGTGTGGGTGGTAAGAACTTTTAAGATTACGCTCTTAGCAACTTTCTAGTATACAAAACAGTACAGTCATGCAACACATAAGGACATTTCAGTCAACAACAGACCACATATTGGTCCCACAAGATTAGTACCATATAGCCCAGGTGTGTAGTAGGCTATACCATCTAGGTTTGTGTAAGTAGTGCAGGGGAGGAAGAAATTTTCCTCTGTCCTTCTAGGTTCTTCTGGCTGGTTTAAGAA